CACATTCAACATTCAAATGAGTTGGTCAACCTTTCAATCCTGATGTGACTAGCAATTTAAGATACTCTTGAATTAAGAACTTTCTACAAGTAACTTCATAAACTCACTTTTTGTTCCAGCCCTGTAAATTAAAATAAATAAAAGGAGTATTATTTCTCGATATCATTAAGAATATTGAAAAAATTTTAAACAAGGTAATAATGTAAGGCTATGCTACAAGCTTTCTCACATCTTTTAACTAAAGAAGTACCAAATTTAATTGTCATATGTAAAGCATATGGTGAAAGAAGATATAAATTTAAACTTACAAGGTAATGAACGAAGTATCTCCATTCGTTCTTCCGCAGCTCTGCTTTTTGGACCTTCAAAGAAGAAATGCAAGGATCAAATTGGAGGGTCGCAAAAATCTTGTAGCAAGCATTAAATAACATGATTTCATCAGGGCGCTACAATTTGTAGAAGGCAAGCACTATATCACCGTACACTAATTGTTTTCCATATAGAGGAAATGAAGCTTTCTCTTGTAAGAAAAAACTTATACACAATTGGTATTTTCAATTGTCACAAGTGTAAACAAACAACACGATTTTGAGAGTTATAAGCAAGAGCAAAGTGCAAGCATTCTCAAAGTAAAGTTCGAGCTTTAGAGAAAATACACAAATAACAACAACATTTGCAAACTTAGTACTTCAATTGTCCTATATCAACGAAGCCAAAACTAATCCCAACAACTCAAATTATTCACTAATATGTAATTTCAATAAGCTGAGTAGTACTTTTTTTTAATAACTGAGAAATTTCCAACGGCTAGTGGTGTATGGTTCAAAACTCAGTGGATAATGAACCTGCCCCTCTACCCTTTTCCACTTAAATATCAGGCCTTTGTCTATGGTAGGATTCGAACCCATGATGTGCATCTGACCTACATATCACACACTATATCCTGTCAGAAATACACTAGTGCATAACTATAAGAGGTGAAACTAGCAATCCTCCGTATAAGAACCATATATTGTCTAGAGTTGCATTCTCTTGACATACAAAAACATGATTTGCAGGGAAGATCGGGTAACTGGAATAGGTCAAAAGTTGAAGTATATTTTCCAAAATTCATCCCAGTTCTTAAACTCAGATCAACCCATATTTACATGGATTGCACAAAAATACAAAATCAGTGTAAATGTATTGAATATATAAGACATTAAAAATTGTTTCTATGATATGTGAAAACAATCATGCCAAAAAGTTTGCTATGGGGCGCAAATCAGATTATCTAAATAAAATCATGATGGAGACTAGCTCAAGATCGCTAAATCAATTTAGGAACCCTTCCACAATCTATATGAGGATGTTCATATATGTAACATCCTTCGACACTGCCAATTGTTTAGTTTACCTAATCTTTGAGAAGGCTTAACAGACATTAGAGCAGAGAGAGTGGAGTCCACAGAAAAAATCAATAGATTGACCCCTAAGTCTAGATTAGAGTCAGTAGAGCAATGAGTTAAGATGATAAAGCAAACCTAAAAGCATCAAACAGTAGAGACAATCCATAATTTATTCATAAAGCTAAAAAAACGAACAGAATTATGGATTACAGGACAGGATTAGTATAATTTGCAACTCTAATTCTACGCCAATTTAGCATTAAATATGGATGAAACAGTCCAAAAGTCATAATAGTTCCCCTGAAATCATCACACAATCGGATGCAAAGTGGTGCATATCTAACAGCAAACAGAAAAGCAAAATGACAAAAAATCTCAACCAATTATCAAACATAAATCAGAGAAGATATGACACAACCGTTACAGACAAATTAGATACACGAATAATCCAAAGGAAGATACGTGTGATAAAAGGCCTAATCATTCAATTTCGGCAATTAATTACGGTATACCCAAACAAAATTAGCGATTTCTGCATAAGATGAAAAGAGAAAAACAAGAAACGTGCCTTTGCTTCGTAGATGCGAGGGCCATGATAAGCGAGAACCTTCTCGCCTTCAAAGTAGAGACTAGGTTTAGAGTCGGGAACGTCACCGGAGGAATTTTCGCTGTCGGTAGAAGAGTTGTTTTTTGAGTTAACCATTTCCGTTTATCCGAGACTTCCGACCAGTAGTATCTCCTCCGCCTTTGGCCGTATGTGACGGAGGAATTTGTTTCCCACTTCTTTATCGGTTTCAAAAAAAAAGGGACCACTGGATCTCTACACGCGTGAGTCGTGAACCTTTATACCCCTTCCGATATTGCAACTTGCGAGTAACTATTATTCAGTCTATTGCTTAACCTAAATTAGTAATTCATAATAATAATAATTTACTAGTAATATTTCATACGTTAGCGATTCAAATTAAAAACTGATTTGTATTTGGACATAATGTTGCAAATGAACAAATATTACGCTCCAAAGTAGGGGTCGCTTGATCGTGTTAAAAAAAGCATATATGTCTTAGCTCTCAAATTTAAGGGGCTTTATTTTTTTTATAATAATAGGCTATAAGTTATTATTTTTAAATAAATATTGAATATTATTTGTTAAAGAGATAGATATTTTATGAAAAAAAAGGGATTAATAGAAGAAATTTGACATATTTGAAGTAATATATCTAATGAAAAATAATTTAAAATAACAAAGGTTATACTATCACATGAAAACTAGAAGAAATAAATTATATAAAAGTTATCAACAATTTAAGTTCGACACCCGTTCATGCTCCAAAGTGCTATAAAACTTATAATAAATATTAACTAAATACATAAATATGTAACTTAGTTTCAAATCACATTAATGTCCTTCAAGTTTGGTTGTGTACAAGTAAACACTTAAATTTATATAAAGTTGAACAAATAGACACACATGTCATACATTGACATCCTACATCTCATTTTTGTCCTACGTGTATTGTGCCATGTAGGACTCACGTATCTACTTGTTTAAGTTTATACAAATTTAAGTATTTATTTGTGCATATCCAAAATTAAAGAACATAAATGTGAAATAAGGTTAAGTTAAAAAGACATATTTATGTATTATACCTTAAATAATATTATAAAGCAACGGATAGAAGCGTATAATTTATTTTAATTGAATTATCTTATATGAAATTGTCAAACAATATCGTAGAAAGATACTTTAGTGTTTAAGTTACTGTACAGAATATAGTAAATGTGATGAAAAACAAATACCATGTAAGTGATCAGGGAAATAGTGATGAATTTATATATAATGTAATCTCAAGTGACGTGTTTCGTGTTGTATGCCCTCTGTAATAACTATTACTATATATTATCTGATTGATAAAGTTGTTATATATGTGGTTACAAAACTAGAGGAACAAATTCCGAAATACTCTTTGGTATTGTTGTAGATCAAGCTTATCTTGATCGATTGTTGACATGTTAATTGATTTCGTCATTTCAGAATTAAATGAGTTTGTATCATTTATTTCGTATTTTCAGTTTATTAAAATATTATCTCTTGAAATGCTTTAATAATGATGTGTCTAGTGTTGTTGTTGAGTTGGACCTAAACTAGATATCGGTTATATATTGTTTATTATCTTTCAATTCGCTCCGCTATCAAACATATGTTTTTAACCTATGTATCTTTTATGCCGGGGAAAGTAATATAACGATGTCACACAAATTAGAAAAAAAAATTCATTCTTTATTCAATTTATCTACTTTATTTTGTTAATTCTATCACAATGTCTCGAGTTTGATCGATTACTTTTTAAAAAATTGTTGTTGAGAATATTTTTTGTCAAAATAATTTTTTATAGAAGTACATTTACTGATTAGCCATATGTATCTTTTAATCAATATATATATTAATTCATCTTTTAGTATTTAGAAAAATTGATTGTGCCTGTTCAATCTTTTCACAAAAACATAAATTTAGATGTTGGATTAAGAGAAAAGACAGTCATCAAAGCTCCTTTTACAATTAGCAAATAAAAACAAAGAAACAATTATAAATATTTATTACAAAAAAGTTTTGATTAAGTTAAACCAATATAAATTATAAACCAATGCAGTAGTATTGGACATATGGTATAATTAATTATTTATTAGTACATGATTTAAAAGTTATTATTTTTTTTTTTAAAAAAAAGGTATCTCAGATATTAAATAAACAGAAAACTGTTTTTAGTTTCCTATAATAACTTAATTAGCCAACTACAAACCATTACAACTTCTTGTTACAACTACATTTATATAGACCACGATTGTGTAGATTATTTACACAATGAAATTAACTATTTTAGTGAACTTTGAAGGAGGAGGATCATGATTGATGATATATGTATGTATAATGTATTTATGTTTTCTTACAAACATATGAAACTAAAAAGTAAAAGATATGGTTCATAATTTTTTCACGCAAATAAATATAAACTTCTTACGAGATATTTTTGAGGGGAAAAAGAGTAATACAAGTTTTATATTACCTTAATAAAAACGTATAAATTTTATAATTTTTTCAATACATAAAAATTTAAATTTAATTTATTTAATAAAATACTGTCTGACGTAAAATCTCTTACTCTTTCAACTTTGGAAAGTTTGTATTTATTTTATAATGTGAAAATATCACCGTTCGTCACTTCGCCAATAGTGTATATATGTGTGCTCACATTTGTGAGTATTATTCTCGAATTTAATATGGAATTATGACATTGTTTCTCACTTCTCAGTTGATGCATGTGATGTTTGACCAGACAAAGTTGAAAGGCTAATACCTAACAAAAAAAAAAACACACTAACTAATATAATTTTGTCATATACATATATGATAATAAATACAAAAATTCGGAGAAGTTCGGACCAACAATATATTATATTATTTATTTTAATTATATAATTTTATTATTAATTATTTTTACAATATTTTAAACTTACTTTTTAAATATTTAATCTAACGGCACATGTGATAATTTGATAATCATAATTTACAATTAATTATAATAAACCTAAAATGTAATGAATATGTTGATCGAAATGTGTGCGCTTGTTCCCTCTTATTATTATTATTAGGAAAAATTACTTAAATACACTACTTTAATTATCTTAATAACCATTTATCCCAACTTATTTTAAAAATTTCAAAAATCCCTTATTCCCCCAATTCAAAAAAATATAAAAGATACATCAAGATTTTCCACCTTTTTTTCACCCAATTGGCAAGTTTTACTTTACCAAAAACTAAATCCTATTTTTAAGCTACCCACTTCCCCATTAACATCCCCAATTAAAATTTACCATATTAATTTTTATTCCTTTTCCTTTTTATTTCCCTACATTGTAGGTGTATAATTGTCTACTTTTAATTCTCCATTCCACACGTTTGCAGGTTAATTTTGAATTCCAGTTAAAATTTCATCCATATCTATTTGATATTCTAGGACTCTCTTTCCATCTACCAAATTTTCTCCTTCAGCTTATTCATCGTGTGAGTTTACTAATTTTTATTCCTTTTCTACTTTTAATTCCCCATTCCACTTGCAGGTAAATTTTGAATTCCCTTCAAATTTTCATCCATATCTATTTGTTATTTTGTAGGACTATCTTTCCATCTAACTAGATTTTCTCATTCATTCAATTCATCGTGTGAGTTTACAAATATCATGGAAGAGTGTGGTAATTTCAAATGTGTGTATGATTCTGATGATGAGCTGTGGGCTGAGAATAGATCTAAGCGATTGCATGACCCATTGTTGATGAAGAACAACAATGATGAGCCAAAGAAGAAGACTGAAGAAATCAAGAAAAAAGGGCCAAGAAAAGTTACATCAACTGTGTAACTTATTATACGTAGCTGGGACAGGATGAACAAGTTTATATGTTGTTTTGTGTTGAAGACAATTATCTTTTGTGTTTTTCTAAAAGCTTATTGGTATTACAATATTTTATTAGTTATGAATGTTATATTTTTTCAAGTTATTTTTTTAGAAACAGTTGTTGCTTTACAAATTTTTTAGTGTTTCATTTTAAGTTATTTTGACAGCTAATTTACAAACTGAAGTATATTACACTTAAGTTCTAATGTGTATGATACATTATTAAGTTTTTTTCACTTTATACAAATGATGTATATGATACATAAGTATAATATATACTTGAAAAAATATTGCAGTTATATATTTAGCAACTTGAATTATATGAATGTATATGATATATCATATACATAAACAAACTTAACCCTGATTACTATTACAGTATAACGCACCACTAGAATGTACTATATCAAAATTACAGTTCATAAGGCTGTACACACTAAACATGTCGTACCCATTTGAACAAGTCAAGTTTTGGGACACTAGAATAACTCATGATGGAGTATACACGAAAAATATAACATATTTTTCACTAAAATGAATGTATCTAATACATAACTGGTTACAAATAAGCCCAGCTTGAATTACTGTAAAACTGAAACCCAAACACTGTTGAATATAATATATCAAATTTATAACTCATAAGTATGTATACACGAATCATATAGTAAACAATTGAACAAATCAATTTTTTGTACACTTGAATATCTCAAAATACAATATACACGGAACACATAACATCTTTTCAATAATATTCATGTATATGATACATCACATACACAAACAAACTCCTATATCATTACGTTACATTGAAAACGCACCACTGTTGAATCTATTTATTTATAAAATTTGGAGTTTAAATTTGGCGCATAATTAAACTGCAAAGTCACAAATTCTAGACTCGACCAGAGCAAGAGCTTCAGTATCTCTTTCGGTACCTTCCACGCATATGACTTCACCTGATGAACAATCAAAATTACGTATATCCCCAACAATTTTATCAGTTGTATCAATACAAAGCGGATACATGCCAATTCCAGTTGCATTCTTTTTCACTTCGAAATAAAGTTTCACACCCATGTCGTTTTTGATTTTCAACGGACATGAGCTTCCCTCGACAATGTATCGTATTTCAATATCCTTTGTAACATTGTCGATCTCAAGCTCTGCTAAAATCAACGTTTTCAGATTCACAAACAGAATGGCTAACAACAATTCCATCAACTTTGTAACCTTCATAATTAATATTGCTTACCCAAATTCCAGAATGCCGCAGCAGAATTGAGATATTCATCTTCAAAACCTTTTTTTTTTAATTCTTAGTATGCAGATCAACCTTTACAAGAATATTTTTGAATTATGAAGCTAATCTGATTTAAAATTTGAATTTACTAATCAGTTACACAATCTGATGACCATTAATTACGTGATTTCAGTTAAGAATAACAGTGTCACGACCGGAATCTAGACCCCAGACGAGACCGGCGTCGTTGACCTCTCAGAGGTCGCAGACAAGCCTGCTTACGTCATTCTTACTTTACATAGATTAATTTTAGCGGAAAATTTGAAATTTTTGATTCTTTAATCATAATTGCTGAACATTCTTAACTTTTCGTAATCGTTCATCATCAACCATCTAACATTTAAGAGAGAAGCAACTGAAAGTAATAATTCATTAAGTATTAATTGTATGTCGGCCACAATAGCACCAATACAAAGTTTGAACCAAAACAGGAAAGAAACGCTAGTGGAACATGCTCCACTAGCTCAACTCTAAAACTACGCTAGAATGTAAAACAGTAGCATCCTCGAAAGCATGAGGACCTACCAAACTCCGGATGAATACTGACGTCCGGATAGCTGCAACGACGAACCTGTAGCTCTAGCGTCCACCTGTGCCTGCACCTAAAAGTAGATGTTCGTATGGAATTAGTACACACTTGTACTAAGTATGGGTATATGCAAGTACACACCAGGGACATACATGAGAAAGAATAGCTCTTTCCTAACAACATGATTTTTGGAAGTCAAGTCAGTGGACTTGCCAAATTGAGATTGGGAAAGTTATGCCATGAGAGTGACATGCATCATTATAATTATCGTATGGCACACAAAACATAACATATTCATATAGCACATAACATATAACACATACTTTCTCTCATATTATTCATTCGTATACCATGAGACCTTATTATCATAGACTTAACTTTAAGACTTTCCAAAATGAGGGCTCAACATATGGGACCTCAACTAGGGAGCCTTCTTTAGCAAACACAGAGTCTGCTTCACTCATTCATTCGTATTTCATTTCAATTCATTCATAGGCCAGTGCGAACACCAGCTATACCTAGGATGTAGTTTAAGACTTTCATCGGGTTTGCTGTGCAATGATCAGGAATGACCTAATGTCATTACCTGAATCTAGCTCACCTCTTGATTATCCTATCCTAACACCTTCGGTATCATTCATTTCTTTATATGATTCATTTGAGGCTGGCCTCATTCATTCATTGGGAACTTCAACTTTAACCGACATAGATCATGTGAGCATCATGAAATCCAGTGTCTTCCCCACACCGAAAAGAGGTGGAATCACCGGCCAAAGCGATTCAAATAACATGCTAGCGTATATGGGAATTTAACCCCGCCAGATCCCTATAGTGGCAATATAGGTTCAAAGACTAGGAGATGTGTGGAGACCCATACCCGGCAAGCCGGACAGTCTCATCTCATGAGAATTACGTGAACCTCCGCCCTTCCCGAAAGAAGGCATCACCACTCATAGCTAGTCTATCGGTGCTCGGTATAAAGTTCCATTACATGCAACTCATACATCATAGAAGTTTGCTTCTAGTATGAAGACATCATAGCTCAATAGATGATTTCTCATCTCATCATTAGTATTAAGTGTTTTAAACTCAATATTTTTATTAGAGTATTCATAGAGACTGGTCTCTTCATTATCTTACACTCTCATTGGTGAGTATGTATCGGTAACATTTTCTTAAGCTCATTTAAGGTTGCTCTCATCATATGCATTAACCTCACATCATGATTGTCACCACATTCTTTATTTCATTACGTATATCTTAGGTTCACTTATTCTTGAACGTATGTTAAACTTGTACATCTATACATACAAGCCATGAGGCTTCATTTATAGTTCGTTAAGTGAATTCTTGTTTTTCTAAGATTATGTATTACAAGACTTATGTATCTTGTATATATGCCAGGATCTTTGATTTTTATCTAAGTAGATGACATTATTCTTGAATATTTCACTCACGTATGACTTATGTATCAATACGGAGGTTTGGACACGAGAACCCAAATTTTGAATTATTTGGATATCATTTATATTTTTCATTGATTTTTTGTTCTAATATTCATAAATTTAGAACTCTAAGTTAAGTCTCAACATTTTCGTGAAATAATAAATTTTCTATTTTAATTAGAATTCTAAATTAGATTTCAATCATTTACATGAAAGAATAATTTTCTAATTTAATTAGAATTCCAATTTAAATTTCAATATTTACATAAAAGAATTAATATTCTATTTTTAATTAAAATTCTAAATTAAATCTCAATGTTTACATAAAAGAATTAATTTTCCAACTTTAATTAGAATTTTAATTTACTATTATTATTATTTTTAATTAAATTCACTTGAATAGGGAGGTTGTGGGTTCGAACCCCCACAGCCCCCTTATTTTTCCTCTCATTTTCGCTGAAGAGGAGACTGTGAGGTGGTGGGTTCGAACCCCCACAGTCCCTCGTATATATATATATATTTTTTTATACACTGCTACAGTCCTTGAGGTCGTGGATTCGATTCCCACGCCTCACGTTTTATTTCTTCCCATTTTTCCCTCTCTCGCGCGCACTTGGAGGTCGTGGGTTCGAATCCCACGCCTCCCATTTAATTTACTGAATTAATTCCCTTCCCCTCTTTCCCCAGGTCGCGTGTTCGATTCCCTTCAGTCCCATTTCTTTTCCCTTTTTTCGCGAACTGGGGGTCGGGGGTTCGATTCCCGCCCCCAGCATCTCTTTTTTTTTTCTTTTCTTCCTCTCCCAGTACCCGATTTCGAATCCCCCCTGCTCCATTCTTTTTCCATGCGAATTTCGCCAGTCCCAGCCCCCATTTCGAGCCCCGTCTTCAACATTCCTTTTTAATTATTTTATCAAGGCATGTGTTGGTGAGGTCTCGGGTTCGATCCCTGAAGACCTCACCTATTTTTTTTTAATTCGTTTTTTGCTCAAATTTTCCAGAATGTGTCTAAAACTTATTTCCAGATTCTGGGGCACTACTCCATAATTTTTCACATCCTTTTTACGGGTTAATTTAGCATTTTTTTCTTATACATTCATTAATGTTCTTAAGACAAATTTAGGGGGATGATTTGATCATTTATTGTGACTAGAATTTATAGCCTTTCAACCATGTGAATATTACGAATATTACGATTTTAAGAGCCTCTAATTGCACATAAAACACGAGTAATCTCAAATCTATTAACATGCTAAAGAAAAACTCAAAGTCATGATCAAAATCTTGCACAAATACATACATATTTACATTCATATTTTTCGAAAAACATAAAATATAATCACATCATCATGAACACATATTCGAAACGAGATTATCACCACAAACAAGTATCCTTAAAATTCTATCAACAAGAATACCCAACCTAAGATCATAGGGAGCTAGTGACAGAGACATGCAACGGGGAAACAACCTTAGTTTCGAGATGAATAGTTTGAATCGTAAGGAACCTCTTGGGAAAGGATCCAAGAGAGAAGGAAACCCATACCTTAATCGATATTCAAACTTTAAATGTTGCTGCCCGGAAAACTCCTCCAAACCACTCCCAATTCACTTCAACGTACACCTCACTCAACAAACCTCTCTTAGCCTTGACGTTTTGATTACTTTTTCTTTTGCTTAAAATTTTTTTTTTGTGAGTTCTTCAAGCATGAAAATTGTTGATATTCTGGCAGAAATAATGTAAGGAAGATGGAGAACGTGAGAGAGGGAGTTAAGAAGCGTGAGAGAGAGAGGGCTAATTGGATTAGGAGACTAATTCAAGAATTAGTCAAATAACATT